CTAATACTTATGCTCGCCCTTAAAAGAAGAACATCAAATATATTTGCAAGTATGTGAATAAAGGCAGTGATATGGCAGTATTTCGAGTTGAAAATACCAATGTGACTGCTCTTCCAGTGAATAACAACGATGAAGTAACGCTGTTCCAAATTGGCCGGTACATCACCTCCAATGAAGCTACTATGGCTCTATGGCCACAGTGTTGAAACACTGTAAAATTATCATCTGGGATGAATGCACTATGGCACACAAACATTCGCTTGAGGAAACAGGACATTGAAAGATATAATAAACAATGACAAATTATTTGGCGGCAGTTCAGGTGATTTCAGACAAACACTTACCGTCATTCCGCGTTCAACGTGCGCTGATGAGATCAATGCTTGCTTGAAATCATCTCCACTGTGGAGTAATGTTGAAAATGTTCAACTAAAAGTAAATATGCACGTCCAAATGCTTCAAGATCCATCTGCTGAAACATTCTCAAAATAATTGTTAGATATCGGTGATGAAAAAGTTACTAAGGATGAGACTGGATGCATAAAATTACCGGACGATTTCTGCACAATCATTGATTTACAAGATGCTCTCATTAACCTAATATTTCCCGATGTTCACTGGCAGAAAGGGCGATTTTAGCAGAAAAAAATGTGGACGTCAACGAATTGAATCTGAAGATACAACAGTTATTGCCAGGTAACTTGGTGACATATAAATCCGTTGATACAGTTTGCGATCCTATTGAAGCTGCAAATTTTCCAACAGAGTTTTTAAACTCATTGCATTTACCAGGCATACCACCGCATAATTTAGCACTCAAATTTGGATCTCCGGTTATTTTGCTTCTTCATTTGAAACCACCACGGTTGTGCAACGGCACGCGATTGGTCGTTAAAGAATTGATGAACAACGTTGTCGAAGTCATTATTTTAAATGACAAATTCCGGGGTGAAAGTATATTCCACGAATCTCTATTATACCCACAGATGTGCCAATTCAATTAAAACGCATTCAGTTCCCCATTAGATTGGCATTTGCATTGATAAGGCCAATCAATGTCTGTTTGTGTCTTAGATTTGAGCACACCATATTTTTCACACAGACAATTATATGTGGCATGCTCTCGAGTAGGCAAACCATCCAGTTTATTTGTGTAAGCTAAAGATGGAATGACAAAAAAATATTGTTCACTCCACTGCACTAAGAGATTAATATTGTTGACTAATATTTTCAGAATTCGTTGTATATATAATTTATAAGAAAAGTTACAATAAATTTAAAAAAAACTATTATTTGGTGTGTTGTTTCACATTCCGTCATCGTTCACAGCTCTCCATGCCTCTCACTCATATACCACACTTGAAATAATTCAATAGAAATAATTCATATGGCGAAACAACGTTTGCCGGGTCAGCTAGTATATATAGATATATATATATATATGTTTGAGAAGTAAAATACGGTTCAGCTTAGCAGTATATTAAGGTTATTATAAAAAATTTAAACAATATACAAGTTGCACAACTTCCGAGATTACTGTTGCTAAGTCAATAAAAAATAATAATTAAAAAAAAACTGAAAATAAATAAATAAAAAATCCTACAATCGGAATTGGGAATTTTGGAAAATGCTTTAAAATCGTTTGCTTAGAACACGGAAGGTTTAATAAATAAATTCAGTTAATTTTAAAAGAAATTTTCTTAGAATGAAAACTAGCAAAGAGAATGTACGACATCCTGTCACAAAACACTTAACATTTTGTAATCAACTTCAATTTATTCAGTTATTTACCACTTTCCCCAAATTACGTCTATTCGCTACATCACAAATTGGCCCGCTTGTGAGGATACTTTTTCTGTAAACTATCATAATTATCTTTTTAAAAAGTG